TATGGCGCCTGTGTACTGGTGATACAGCCCTGCAACAAGTAAGTAGTATACTGTTCCGTCAAATTAATGTTTGGCTATATGATCTCAGTGTTGCTCCACATGATCTATATAATGTTACAAAACATATATATCTATATATATCTATATAATGTTACAAAACATATATATCTATATATATCTATATAATGTTACAAAACATGACGACATTGTGGCTAGAAATCTCTCTCATAACATGATAGTGTTATTACATTTTTTGAATCATTTCAACTCAAGCAAGGCGATAAAGCCACTAGGAGGCAATGGGCTTTAAGGAGTGGGAGAGGATGGGAAATCTTTAGTGAGGAAAAGTGAGGAAAAGGACAATAAAAGAACAGGGTTCAAGAAGACAGAAGATGTCGATTGTTGTTGCATTTAAATTTTTCAAGCTTGTAGGTGGTAGCGAGCAAGAAAATGGTAAGAAGTACGAGAAAAGAGACAGTTGCATGTTGCTAGTAAACAGTAAAATGATAAGACCTAATTGCCAATCTAGCATACGAGCTTTTAAGCAGTCGAGGCACTGAATTAAAAACCTCATCAAAACAGATGTCATAAAAATATTTGTAGAAAATACAGAGAGAAGTGAAGTCACGTCGGTAAGAAATTGAGTGATGTCGAGATGCCCGATCAGGATAGAATACATGACAGAACATCTTTTGAATTTTGTTAAGACCAGCAGAAGCACCAGATCAGATATGGCAGCAGTATTAGCAATTGATACAATATATTCACTTCACTACATGTCAGTTGAAAGCGTGAGTCCAAGAATACGCAATACATGGTTCTCTTGGAATTTAACGTCAGCCAGCCTGATAGCAGGCAGAAAAATGAGAGCCGTTTTGTTTTGGAGGCCAGAATGAGAAAATATTTAGTGAGATGAAGTGAAGAAACGGACAATAATGGAACAGGATTCAAAAAGACAGAATATGGCGATTGACGTTGCATTTAAATTTTTGAAGATTGTAGTTGACGGGGAAGCAAGAAATTGGCAAGAGGTAAGCGAATAGAAACTTAGAATAAAAGTGACGGTTGCAGGCAATTAGTAAACAGTAAAAGATTAAAGGCCTAGTTGCCAATCTAGTAGAACGCTATCATGGAACCAAGGCACTAGGTTAAAAAGCTCATCAAAACAGTTATCATAAAAAATATTTGTAGAAAATACAGAGGGAAGTGAAGTCACGTCGGTAAGAAAATGAGTGATATCGAATGTCGAGATGCCCGATCAGGATAGAATATATGACAAATCTTCTTTTGAATTTTGGTAAGAATCTTGATATGCCCAGCAGAAGTACCAGATCAGATATAGCAGCAGTATTCAATGCACAGCTGAAAAGTAGATATATATATATATGCCAGATGGATTTTTGACGAGGAAATCTTTCTGGCATGAGACAATAAAGCAACTATCCTAGCTGTAGATCTAGCAGTAGATTCAATATAATCGTTCCACTTTATTTCATCAGAAAATATTACAATTCAGAATGATCAATGAGCCATTCTCCTGGATGTTAGCATCAACATTGCTATTGGCAGGCAGAAAATAAAGATAACACAAGCACAGCTCGAACCCTACGAAGGGTGTGAGGTGTACTAGTGTTATCATTATTTTTTATGATCTATTTCCGGAATCTTTGTATATATATTTTCAGGTTGTTCTTTTTTTACACAAATCTTCAATGGAAAATGTCATGAAACCATTTTTGACCTTAGAACCCTGGAAGATAATGAAAATAAAGATCAAAGGCAATGATTATAATAAATAATATTAATTTCTGACTGTCACTATGAGATCAACCAGATACTGTCGGTAAAACTCAATGTATAAAAATATATTACAATATTAATGTTTACTCTAATAATTATAAAATTAGATTGAAAATCCGGTATTAATTATAGACTTAATAAAAAAAATAAACGAAGTCGGATATAAGTATGTAAAAAAAAAAAAAAAAATAATAATCCACCCTACCGCCTGGGGATTTAGAATACGTCGACTGTACCTCTGCAGAGGGTTAGGACCGAGCCCAAATAAAGCGTCCTGGGTAAGACGATAAACTACATCCAACAGCAAGGCTCTGATCGAAAGGTATTGAGGAGCATGGAATCATTTCTTAATTACTGGTGTTCCTAGATCCACCCTGAACCTTGGATGGTAGCACCTGTTAGGGCCCCAGCTATGGGCAAATGGTTAACCCACAAACTGGGGGTCAAAATACTACGAAGGTGTAAAAATAGATTTTAATGCCAGTAATAGATTATTGGAAAAATATTGCTAGCAATACCTTTTTAAACAAAAGTATTTTTTTATGTAAAATATTTACATAGATAAAGCCTTTCGTAAGGTTTGAGCTGTGCTAGTGTTATCATTATTATCTCTGATGTATTTCCGGAATCTATGTATATATATATATATATATATATATATATTTTTAGGTGGTTCTTTTTTTTGCACAAGTTTTCAATAGAAAATGTCATGATAGCATTTTTGAACTTAGCACACTGGAAGATAATGAAAATAAAGATCAAAGACAATAATTTTAACAAATAATATTAATTTCTGTCACTGTGAGATCAACCAAATACTATGGGTAAAACTCAATGTATAAAAATATATTACAATATTAATGCTCACTCTATTAATTATAAAAATTAAATTGAAAATCCGGTATTAATTAAAGACTTATGACAAACAGTTATAGGCTTGTAAAATATGTCATTTGAAGGCGTGAGTCAAAGAAGGCGCAAAGCGTGGTTTTCTTGGAATTTGGCATTAGACATGCTGATAGCAGGAAGAAAAGATTCTCTGTGGTGATTAAACGAAAGCTTATTTGTTTTGAAGGCGTTCAAACTTACAAACTATTTCTTGCTTCAGTTAACTACTGATTGGACGTTCTTTTCGAGAGCAGTTGCCAGTGTTTTTTTTTAGTAGAATCTGTCAGACATGGTATTAAGACTAGCGTAAATAGTTGCGTCATCTGCATAAATACCTACTTGCGAAATGATGCCATCGGGGCGGTCGTTGATGTAGATCAGAAGCAATGTAGAACCAAGAATAGAGCCTTAGGGGATCCTCGCATTTGTATGAAATGCTCTAGAAGCGTATCTATTCAACACGTCCTTCATTACAAGATTTGTTAGGAACGATTGGATTAAGCTGAACATTCAGAAGAGCGACTTGACCTTGTGGAGAAGGCCAGCTTGTCAAAAAATGTCGGACGGCTTTGAGATATTCAGAGCTAGAGTTCGAGCTTCGCCGTTGTTATCTAAAGCTTGATAGAGAAATTTAGTGACAGCCATTAACAAATCGGCGTTAAACCAGGCGAAACGGAAGCCGTATTGTGTATTTGAAAGGAGGACATTTGACGTAAGACTGACTCAGTTAGTCCACTTACAGCTTTTGCTGTCTTACGTCAAGGTTTTTAGATCATAATCCTGACTGGGGAGGGACATAAAGGTACACAGGTGAGTTGTTAACACATCGGCGTTAAACCTTGAAAAGGACCTCCAATCGGTTGTGGACTGGGGCAAGTATTGGCTGGTTAACTTAAAGCCTCAAAAACAAAACTGCTCTCTATTACTCACCAGAGAGAACCATCCTTGCACCTCCTTAGAATGTCTGACGCTCAACTCCACGAGAGCACCTCTTTGCGACTGCTCAGTCTCACATTGTCCTCTGACCTGAGATGGAACGAATACATTGAGTCAATAGCTTCTTCCATAGCTAGGAAAGTTGGCTCCCTATGCCGCGCCAAGAAATTTTTATCACCGGAGTCGAGCCATCAAATCTACAAATCAACCATTCGCCCTTGCATGGAGTATTGCTGCCATATATTGTCTGGAACCCCTTCTAATTGTCTCAAGGTCATTGATAAAATCCAGAGCGGGATATGCAATGTAATTGGCCCTGATCTGGAATTTCGTCTGCAGTCGATCTCGCACAGACGTGCCGCGCCTCCCTATGTTGTTTTTTTTACAAAAACTTTCACGGTAACTGCTCCAATGAACTGCTTTCGTTGGTTCCCAGACTTCGTGAATTTAAGCGCTCAACTAGGCTGGCATCTCACTCTCACCTTTTCACTGTCGAAACAGTTAAATGTAGCCGTCTCTTCTACTCCAATAGCTTCATGTCTCTCACTTCTCGCCTGTGGAACTCCCTCTCCATTTCTTGTTTTCCTGATAACTATAATATCCAACTATTCAAATGTAATGTCAATCGACGCCTCCAGATCTATCCCTTAACCGTCTCTTCATTCTTTCCTCTATCACTTCTCTTTGTTCTCGTATCTACTCTGTAACCCTTTGCGTGCTAGTGGCTTCCCGTCTTGCTTGGGGTTGAATGCTTAAAGAAAATCTTGGCGAAACGAAAGCCATATTGTTTATCTGAAAGAAGGACGTGTGACGTGTGGCTTGTGACGTGTGACGTGTGGCGTGTGACGTGTGATGTAAGACTGATTCTTTCAGTTAATCCCCTGACGACTTTTGCAGTTTTTTGTCAAGGTTTGTAGATCATAATCTTGACTGGGGAGAGACACAGGTGAGCTGTAGGGCATATAAATTCAATCAAGCCAATCAAGTTTATCTCTAATATATGCTTGATATCTATGAAATTGACTTTTAGTCTCATTTTAGGAGCCATGGACACTAAAAGGAGGCGGAAGCCAACACAAATTATGCGTGAGGCGTCTCTCATCTGGGTAAGATGTAGCAATCAGCATGTAATCATTTGCTGTAATCCAGGTATAATTTTTTTTTAATTATTTCACTCCGAGGAAGGCGATAATGCCACTAAGACACAATGGATTACTGGGAGTTCCAAAAAATGCGAATACTTCAGTGAGAAGAAAGCAATATATAAGAACTGAATTCATGAAAAAGTAGATGGCGATTGATGTTGCATTTAAATTTTTGAAGATTGGCAAGGAAGCATGAAACGGAAAGAGAGTTCTAGAGGCGAGAAGTGCGAG